ATACATTGAAGTGGACGGACTTTGGACCTCTGTCCAAGCCCTCCCTCAATGCAAGAACACTTTCTTCTAACAACCTGGCATTCTGTGATGTTCACCCTCCTGGCACCATCGCTGAAGACAAAATGGATCACAACAAATGCGGTGAAGAAAGCTGATGGTCCCCGGTTATCAAAAGATGTAGCGTCTGGAGTCTTAAAGGTTTGAAAATAAACAAGTGGCAATCTAGCAGAGAAGCAACAAGCCCACATGGAAGAAGCACACCAGTCTGTGTGATCATGAGGTGTTGATAGGATCAGGTTAACGCATCAGAAGACCCCAAACAAGCAAAAAAACATTGTTGAGAACGTGGGAAGTCCGAGCAGAGACCCAAAACCTATCTGTAGACAATGGGAAATCCCCTCACAGAAGGATTGCAAAGAACGGATGAGACAACCAGGGTGAAGTATAGCACTGATGAAACACATAATATTCCTCTGGTTCCTGAGGCTTCTTCACCCCCCACTATCATGACCCCAATCCTGCCTTTCACTGCAGGCTAGGCCAGCACATGTACACAGGTACAAGAGATAAGAGCTCAGGACACACAGAATCCAGGTCAGAAAAACTCCTCAAGAACAGAAATGCGAGTAGCAATAACAGGGAGGTAGGGGGATGGTGGTGAGAGGAGTGGGGGGAAAAACTGTGGGGGGAAAGGGCAATGGTGGTTGATGTAAGATATGAAAACAATAATAATATAATTTATCAAGGGACCAAGAGGGTGAGAGGCAGGTAAAAAGAGGAGCTGATCTCAAGGGCTCAAAAAGAATGTAAATTTTTAGAAAATGATGGCAACATATATACAAATATGCTTGATACAATTGATATATAGGTTGTTCTAAAAGCTGTAAGAGTCCCCAATAAAATGATCTTAAATATACATACACACATATAGATATATATACTGAGTATAAGGAAGGAGGAAATGTTCTAAAATCGAATGTGGTAAATGTACAACTCTTATTAATATAATTGAAGCATTGAATTGTATGATACGTGGATGACGTGCCAATAAAACTATTTTTAAAAAGCAAAAACAGAACAAAACAAAAAGAATACTTCATCTTAAAAACTAATTTGAGCCCTGCTATAGTAGTTACATGCTGGGCTGCAATCACCATGGTTGATAGTTTGAAATCACCACAGGTCCAAGGGAGAAAGACTAGACCAGTCTTTGCACTCCCGCCAACAGTTCCAGTCTCAGAAACCCACAGGGGACTGCTATGAGTCAGTACTGACCCAATGGCAGTGAGTTAGTCATTGAGCATTCTTTCAAAACGTTATGTTGACTTTTGAACTATATACAAGAATACAGAAAATTTTAAAAATAATTGATGCCTTTGAATCATGGTGTTCAATTATGAACTGTCAGAAAATCTTATAAGATTTACAGCTACAATGCTCCTTAAGAGCAAGGATGGTAGACTTTTCTCCATTTACTTTAAACAGGAAATCAGGAAGGACAGTCCCTAGAAAATGACATCATGCTTGGTAGGTCAGTGAGAAAGAACCTCAACCAGAATCTTTGGATAAAGAACCTACTCCATATCTAGGATACAGAAAATACAACACAAGTATGGGATATGTTACACCTTAGAAGACTAATGAAGTAAGGGTGTCCAACAATTATAGACGCCTACTCGATCTGTGCCCTTACAGAGATCACTGCAGATTATATATATATATAATAGATAGATATAGATGCTATAGCAAAGTGTGAAACAGTAGCACACCAGTCAGTGTAATCGAAGGACTGTAAATAATCAAATCCAAAACCAGAGAAGGGAATGGTATTAGAGTTGAAATTCTGAGCATCTGGTTTATAGAAAGCTATGGATAACGGTAAAAGCCTAAAATCTAAATGCAGGGTCTCCTTGTGGATTCAGTCCCCAGTGAATCCCCTGACCATGAACCAGGGATGGGAATAGCCTACTATCAGACAAACTGCACTGAAAAGAGGGGTGGACGCAGATGTAGTTAGGTTAAAATTTAACAACTTATCACTTGTTTTCCATTTTGACCCATTGTAAATGTTAGTTTTGGGTTTTTCTGCTTCGGGACTGAGGTTTTTCTCAGTTTTATATATTTTCTTTACAGAGGTGGTAGTAACTGGATCAATAGTTTCTTAGGGTTACAGAAGCTGAGGCTGAGGGGAAATGGGGAGCTAACAATAAAATGTACATCAATAATGAAAATGTTCTAAAATTGTGATGATTCCACTACTCTTTTTATTATGATTAAACCACTTAATTGTTAAGTGAACTATGTGTCAATAAAATGGTTTTTAACTTACTGTTGGATGGATGACTCAGAGACCATATAAGACAGTGTAGAACTGACCCTGTTGATTTCCTAGACTGTAACTCTTTCTCAGAGTAGAAAGCTTCATCATCTTTCTCTCGAGAGCAGTCGGTGGTTTCAAGCAGCCCAACCACATCATCCACTCTGCCACCACATTCCCTCAGCACTTCTCCATGGAAAGTTAAGAATTCTACCACTCAACTGCCTTCTGAAGCACACAGTACCACCAAGTAAGTATTCTTGCTAAAAAGTTTTACTTCAAGCTAATCAAACCTTTCTTTTAGACCTAGCTTCCAGTTAACAGCAAAGTCTGAGGGATACACTAAATTAAATGACACAATAAGTAAACAGACACGTCCTGAATGTGAATGTAATCACGAAGACAAATGATTTATGTCTCTTAACTGTGGGCGTGGAGGCGGGAGGAATGGGCACTGTTCTTTTAAAGACTAGACACAATCTCCAAATGTAATATATGACTGAACAGAATCTAGTTGAGGGGAGAAGTGGGATATTCACAGATATTTGGGAATAATTCAGGAAATTTGAATTTAGATTGGAATTCTTTTTTTTTCTTTTTTGAAAAACAATTTTGTTAGCATTTCATCCATGTCATACAATTCAATCATATCAAGAATTGTACAATTATCACTACATTCAATTCTTTTAAAAAAAATCGTTTTATTAGGGGCTCATACAACTCTTATCACAATCCATACATACATCAATTGTGTAAAGCACATTTGTACATTCAATGCCCTCATCATTCTCAAAACATTTCCTCTCCACTTAAGCCCCTGGCATGAGGTCCTCATTTTCCCCCCTCCCCCCTCCCTCATGAGCCATTGATAATTTATAAGTTACTATTTTGTCATATCTTGCCCTGTCCGACATCTCCCTTCACCCACTTTTCTGTTGTCCTTCCCCCAGGGAGTTCACATGTAGATCCTTGTAATCGGTTCCCCCTTTCCAACCCACTCTCCCTCTACACTAGATTAGAATTCTTAATGTTTACAGGTGTGATCATGATATAGGTGTTAGCAGGATATTATTTTTAGGACATATATGCTGAAAAACTTGAATGCTGTCATATGTACAATTTACTTTCAAATGTTTACTTACACAAATATGTGTACAATTTATGCATGGAACATACACATTCACAAAGAAAGGAGACCAGTAGGACAAAATTACTGAATCTAGGTGGGAAGTGCTATTTTCCCCCAACTTCTCCATATGATCAAAAATTTTCCAAATAAAGGTTTTTTTAAAAATGTACCTTTATTGAGAGATATAGCAAAAAATGCTAGAATTATGCTGCTAGGTGCCTTCTAACCAATTTCTGAGTTCAGTGATCCTATGTGACAGAGTAGAAGTGCCCCATTGGGTTTTTTAGGGTTTAGTCTCTAAGTGAGCCGATTGCCAGGTCTTTCTTCTGCAGAGCAACTGGGTGAGTACAAACTGTCAAGCTTTCAGTTAGCAGCTGAGTGCTGATGTTACACTACCAGGGCACTGATGGAATTATACTGGATTTAGATCCCCTCTCTATTACTTAGTAGCTGTGGCCATAGGGAGGTTATTTAACAAGACGGACGTTATGTCTCATCTAAAAAATGCATGTAATAATACATGTATTAGGTTGCTCTGAGAGTTAAAATTACATATAGAAAATGCATAGCAGAGTTGTACATGATAAGTCTAGTTTTTCAAAATTTATAGATGTAATCAACCTATAACACAAAACTGTAGGAAAACATTCCTTTCATTATCTTCATATTCTAAGATGAAGAAAATGTGTAAAATTCAATAATACTCAACTGGAAGTCAAAGTCAAGTAATGGGTGAGTTAGTTTATTATTTAAACATTTTAATTCAAGTGCTCCAAATGACCAAAGGGAAAAGGAAATAACAGTCACCTACCTAAACTATTTGCTTTCTGAATTAGCCTATATCCAAAGAAAACACAAGAAAATAAGTTGACATTCGACTTTTCTTCCGATTCAGATATTTACTATACAAGTACACTGAAAAAATTTAAATGTTTGTCTTCATTTCTGTAAGTAAGTATGCAATTGTTGGGCTTCCCTTTAAATTCCAGTTGTGTCCAGAGAAGTCGTGGATGCAGTTTCCTCCCATCAGCCCTACCGTACTAGTTATTTCCCTTGCAGGTAGCCCCCTTTCCTGGCTAGGCCAGCAGGAAAATGACTAGATGCAAAGTGAGCCTCAGGTAGGGAACAGGAGCTGTTTGTCTTTTAAAAAAAGAAGTGCCATCCTCTGGTGTTCCCCAGATCAGAGGGACAAGGGTGGGTGGGGTGGGGTGGAGGTATCAGGTCTCAGGCTCCCAGGTTCGACCAGGAAATCCTACCAGGTAACAGGTAACACCCCTGCCTTCTTTGGGTGAGGGCGTTGGACAAATGGGGGCCCATATCACTGGGAGTAACCTGGAACATGGGGGAGTTTCTCCTCCCTCAAGGATTAAATGCCATTAGGGGGACCCCGTGAGGTGTCTCCGGTAGCAGACAAGGTGACAGACAAGGCTTCGCCTTGCCTCCAGCAACCCAGATAGGGAACGCGTGGTGTCAACCCCTCGGAGGGCACACCCCGAGGGCACGCGCGGTGCTGCGAGCCCGTGGTTCCCCGCCCCCCTCCCCAGTGCCCATTACCTGCGGGTGGCAGTGCTAGGGCCCGGAGGCCTGGGGCTGCTCCTCTTCCCCGCCAGGCTGAGGCGGCGAGGTGGCGGCGACGGTGGCGACAGCCCGGGGGGAGGGGCGGAGCGCGCGGCTCGCTCCCTTCTCTCCTCCCCCGGGAGCCCAGGGACCCTATCTCGGGCCGCTGCGCCTAGGCCTGTGGACAGCCTGTGGCTGCAGCATGGCGGTAAAGGCGAGCAGCGTGTCTTCGGAGGAAGAGTGCGAAGTGGGTGGGTAGGGAAGCACCCTTCAGGCGGTTGGAGGGACCTGAGGGGAGGAGCGAGCGGGGACTCGGGAGCCGCGCGCCGGCGGCCGCTGGGGGCGGACGGCCGAGGGCACCGAGCGACTTGGAGAGTGCGGCGCCGGCGGCT